TTATCAAGCGAATACATTTCAATCTTGTTTTGCCTGTATATTTACTAATATTTTTCACAGCTGGCATCCATGGAAAGAGAGAGATCAAACAATGGACACAACCATATTTACCTACTCACTGATATTCTCCCATTGTTAGAGCATTTATTTTTCTTTATATCATATTTTGGTGAAGTGATTTACTTTGGAAGGATAAACTTGAAAAGGCTGGCTACCTTAAAAAAGAAGAAGAAGAAGAAAAATAAAAAAATAAAAAAATATAAAAAAGTCGTCGTCGTAGTACTAAAGATAAAATTGAAGTTAGCTTGATATATCTAGAGTGGATGAGTCTTCTGGTTGCTACAGTGGTTATTCTTGGGACAAGTGAATTGTTGCATTTAACCCCATATTGCCAGGAAAATGTTGTGTTCACTGTCGTATTGTTTTGTGAAATGTTTCTTAACATATATGGTTATACTATTGCTTAGCCACTAAGGAGTCAATTAGTAGACCTCATAACCACGTATATGCATTTTTTACAAATGCTATCACTATAGATGGTGATACTTTTATCAGACATCATAATTACTACATGTTATTGATATTACTAATAGAATGACATAAAAAAATATTTCCAAAAATCAAAGAAAAGGGTAAACAAGTGAGATATGTAGTACTAGGAACTGGCTCATTGGCGACTTAGTACTTAGTAAACAAAACTCTGTAGATATGGCATGTATCGTACATGCCATCCCAAGTGGCATCAGGCTAAGTAGTAGTATGATTGAAACCACTTAGAAAGAAGAGAGAAAACACAGTTACTCTAAAATAAGGTGTGAAAGCATTCAACTCCTCTTTTTACATGAGCAATGTGGACCTTAGTCTATGATCATCTTAGAATTTTGTTACATTATGCAGTTAATTCATCAATATAAGTATTTCTGAAATAAACTTCAATATGCTTAGAATGGGGATTAGAATCTTAATGAAGCCAATCAAAAAGGCTGTACTGCCAGATGTAGTGCAGAGACTATGCCTGTGTCCAAGTAATGAAAATTCTGGGTTTCGTCACACTAGCAATTGTTTATGAAGTGACAGCACCCTAAAGCTATAATACTTCAGAAAACAAGCTTGGGGGTACTCTGCACAAACATTGCCACATAAACCTTCCTACCACAAGGGCTTTGCCAAAACCAAGAGCATACATAGCTGTTTGGTAGGAAAAAAAATAAAAGCCAGTTATTAATTGCACGTAACTGCCAAATACTGCACCATAAACCATTAAAACACACATTAATTCCAAAGTTTTTTCCCGTTATAATAAAAACAACTTTCTGCTATCTCATCACAGGTTTGGTCTGAAATACGGGCATTATGCTGAATTTTTGTTAGTCATATATAATGCTAATTCCTAACATTAAAGATTTTCTTTCAGTCATATTTAGAACACTTACAAAACCTTTAGTCATAATGTTGAACAAGCCACAGAGAGTTAGGGTCACTAAATTCAGGAAGTGACTACTTTTTAATATTTCATTTCTGCAAATTATTTCTATAATGCACTACAGGCCCTGCTTAGTCTTTCAAAAGACATTAACTTTTTTGCATCATTTAATATCAAAATAATATCACTATTACAGATGTGCCAAGTAAATTCCCAAATATCAGTCAAAATTCTGGTCAAGGTAAAAAGAGCTTCCAAAAGAACTATCTTGAACACTCCACCTAATCTAGTATCCATGAGCAATTTAAGATAACAAGTTTGAATTAAGTAATAAATACTGTAATACATAAAACTCACTCAAAAACAGTCCTACAGAAAACTGTATTTCCATTTTTTAACCCATTATAATATCAAAATCACTGATGCACGCTATTGTAACCCAGTTATTTAAAGAATAAATTACGAGACGTGTATTAATAATGGGCACAATCCACAGAACATAAATGTAAAGAATAATGGCCAAGCAGCACCAAGACTACAACCCCATGCACTCCTCCAACTAGCCAAACACAACCACTTCAGAATATAAAGCAAGAATATAAAAGCCCTAAGTTAAGCAAACCTCTGAGCACCAATGCCTACCCAACCAAGCTACAGGTCTCCCAAACACAAGGGGGTATTCCCGGGAGCTGACAACCAAACCTACGAAAACTCATCCAGAATAATGTCTGCCTTGGGAGGGCAAGTGCTTTCCCCTCGGGTCTGTCGCAACACGACCGAACTACAACATCCTGCTTGGTCACCAATGCAGACAGATACTACACAAGTTGCGAGATGAGCTTTCCGAAAGGAGGTGATGCAAAGGGGGAACGTGGAAAGGGCCTGGGAAGGGGAGAGGAGCGAGGGCGGGCATGGGGTCCCGGGCATGGGGTCCTGGCCTTGGACTCTGTAAACAAAGCCTGGACTGTCGGCCGACCTTCGCTCGGACATGTTACATTGATTTTCTCTTATCTCGCTCTCCTCGGGCCTTTTCCGGCAGGGCTGAACCAAAGGCTGACTGTGGGAGACCATACTCACTGTGATATTGGCGTGAATGTCATATTTCTTGTTCGTTTTGGAAATAAATCGGCAGGTCAGTTCGTCAACACTGGCCGCCACCACTTGGAACAGCTCGTCTGTTTTGGGAAACGCGTTCTCCAGTACCCGTATTTCCTGCTTGAGGGTGTTCAAACACGCCATGATAATTTCAATGCGCCCTTATTCCTGGCATGGAATCAGTTGCGGAAGAACTGCGAGAAAATACACAGCAGAGATGACAGCTGAGCGCGAGTCGTCCCTCTCCTTCCTTCCCGACGAGAAAATGGCGACTGCGGACGGAACTCACCAAGTGTCCAACTTTTTCCACAATCGAGCGTTCACCCGTAAGTTAGGCCCCTGTGGATATCCCTCATTTTTCCTATCAATGTATCCATGAGAGTTTAAAATACCAACTATATTTCCAATGAATATATATTTATTCATAAACATTGCCATTTCTTCGTTGATCTCGACAGAAGTTCAATAAATAGGTTTATATTCATGGAAAAGTTCAATGTTAAACAAAACTTCACCAAGCTTTATGACACATCTCCTTTAGTATGGTAAGTTTCCATGAGCGAGCGCTCAACAGATGGCATTAGCTGTCGTCCCCAAATGGCGCTCATTTTGAAAATTTCTTTAAATCGCACAACCGATTTCTTCGAAGAACATTGGCTAATGCACTTTATTCTGTCGTTAGAACATGCACAAAATAGTTCTATGCCAGCTATATATGATTTGGATCATTGCATGAATACACTTATAATTGAAATATAGCGTACAAACTTCCAGGTAATTGCATGCATCAAGCACAATATGCATCACTATAATAAATCTTATATCACACATTTACAATACGCTTTAAGATGTTATGCTAGATCAGTTGTCGAAATCGAGGTTCTTTGTATAAATATAATACTTTATTAGATGGCAGCCTAGTACATTCATGAATATTCAAACTAACATCGTTTCGTGTGTGTGTGTATGTGTGTGTGTGTGTGTGTGTGTGTGTGTGTGTGTGTGTGTGTGTGTGTGTGTGTGTGTGTGTGTGTGTGTGTGCATGTGTGTGTGTGTGTGTGTGTGTGTGTGTGTGTGTGTGTGTGTGTGTGTGTGTGTGTGTGTGTGTGTGTGTGTGTGTGTGTGTGTCTGTGTGTGTGTGTGTGTATGCTTGTAATGAAGCATTAATCAATGCATTTAAATTTAGACGGCTATTAATCTGTTCTAGCTGAAATATGCGAGAACATACAGACACATAGATCTACAGAATGTGTGTATTCCGTGGTAACAAGACCACTCAATTTGCTGTGTCCCATAAAACACGCTAGATAGTAAACCACAGTGTTCCGTGACGATCATCCAATGAGGAATTTTAGCAGACGTTTCCACAAGAAATACGTTATATAAAATCTGTATTAGTATGTGAAATCATATTATAAGCTATCACAATCTGGGCTGCTTGCCCTCGAAAGGAAGTCCACCGTTAATGGCCGTGTGACCCTTAAGCTTAGGCCCACGAAGGGCCGGGAGGAAGGAAGCGACAGTGGGTCGTCAAACATCTGTCCTTGGGAGTTTCTGCGTGGAGAGTCACGCGGTAGGGAAGGAGGTTGTGGATAGGTATCCTGGAAGGGGGGAGAGTATCGCCACGCCGACCTGAAATATGACCTGCACACACACCGGGCACGAGATGGAGAATGAAATCATTTTCTTCTGCGTTGAGATGTAATCCTGTGAATTAAATAGTTAACATCCAAGTTGTTTTTAATACTTTGCCTATTATCCGTGTGGTTTTCATTTTTAGTTCCTTTGTATTACATGCCGTAAGATCTTTCTTTAAAGAAACCTTAAGATTTTGCAAGGTGAAAGATATCATGTTAGTTGGCGACATGGAACAAAGACTGTACCTACAAAGCCCAGCACATTTCCCCCCCTTTTAATGATGATCGTACATACTTTGTGAGACGTGATGGTAGACATGTTACTTCTTTTAAGTCTAGAATTCTGTTGAAACAGATGCTCAGCCAGACAACATGCGTACACTACAGGATCAGTGCAGCTGGTGCCACAGTGAAGTTTGTTTTTAATTTGTTTTAGATATTGTTAGCAAAGCCTGAGAGATTTTCTGTACCATCATTTTCCCGGTTATACATCTATATCCTTTACATAAGAAAATTATATTTGCCACAAAATTTGGGCAACTGATATTCCTTTCAAATGCCCGCCATATTCTTGTTTGGTTGGAATCGTATAGCGAGAATATGTGCCATGGTTCCAACCTAATATTGCTTTTCTTTTTTAGAAAGTTTGTGCGGGAAACAAATATCAGTCACATTCCCGTCAGAGCTAAAAAGAAATTAAAAGATATTCTGAAAACAGATAATATGCCTGGAAAGTGCAAGCCACGGAATAAAACATTTTTGATAATTGCCAGACTTCCACCAGAGTTAATTATTCCCCCCCCCCCCTCTGACCAACCGATCGTGGCGACGGTTCACATCTCACACCGCTGTTCAGTTTTTGGACAACGACGGATTCACGGTGTGGATGTTACCGCATGCGCAGCAGCAATCGTATACTCGGTACACAAAGTAACCGAGTGGAAAAAAAAATATTCGTTTATTTTCTTTCCAGGAAAATAAAACATATTTGTGATTTGAGGACGCATCAGATAACATACTGCGATTTGGTAAACGGTCAATGAGCTTAGTTCTTGATTCTAGGTAAAACGAGTTAATCAGGCAGTTGATTTTTGGATCCGGTTGTCCATACGAAGTCCATGTAGCGTGTTGATGGAAATGGGAACTGATTGGATGCGAAAGGTGTAGGAAGAGGCACGTATCAATTTTAGTGAACCTTTCAGAGGGCATCTCTTTATCGTCGTGTTACTTCCTACGGCAGGGCGGAAGCACGAAGTGTGCAAATGTTTGTAAATAATCTTAGATACTGAATATTGAGGCAAGGGTCATTTGTGAGCCGTTCTGTTGTATTGTCCCGAAAGACCCCCTACATTTTTCTGATAACACTGATTATGAAATCTTCAGTAAGAATCTAAGAAAGTGTGGATAAGCTCGTGAGAATTGCCGATGGTTCAGAAACTTTGACAAACGTTTGAATTGATCTTGGTAACCCCAAAGATAACCAGGGCTCCATCTCCAAACTGCCAAGAAACAAATTTGGTCAATTCTGATGATTCAACTAGGACCTTGGTATAGCTTGTTGAATTGTTTGCTTCGAATCTTTGGAGACATTATTCCATTGTATATCGAAGTGTGGCGTAACGTTCCGTAGGCAATCTTCATTAGGCATTTAGGTTTGATTTGATTTCTAGTTATATATTTTATACCGCGGAGTTTATGAAAATCTTCAAAAAAACAGATGCGTCCAGTACTACTGCGAAAAGCAAATCATACGTTGGGGGAATCGTGTCAGTAAACAAAATGCATTTGTAAGTACCGGTTTCGAGGCTGGGAACATGTAAAATATCGTATTACAATCCCCCTAAAGAGGATTGAAAAGAAATGTCCAATGAGTAACCTCCGAATGATCTTAACAGTTTGCAAAGGATCAGGTACAAGAATGCTTGTGCCTAATGAATCCATTACTATGGGTACCTCAGACACCTTTCACACCCTCATTTTTTGTGCTAGGGATGGGCACAGAATGGGAGAAGGGGCAAGCAAAAGTACAAGAGGTAGACTACCTCAGGTAGTACACATGTGACATGCTGTCGTTAGTGATGACAGCATGCGATGCTGTGGTGATATGCGAGAATGTAGTTCATGCAGTCCGTAATATTTTATCGAAAGTGATTCGCATTTCAGTGACCATTCGTAAACAGGAAACGTAATTCAAGTAATTGAGGAGGGTAGAACTCCCTCGGTCCATCTGTGGGATAACGACGAGCACCTTTGTATTTTTTTTTTTTTTTTTTTTTTTTTGGGGGGGGGGCGGTAGCTGCGATGTTTTCTTTTGGTTCTCTGCTCTGTTCACATTGGTCTTTTTTGTAACGGCAGTACTGATGTTATTACCATTAGGACTACTAGTTTATATAGATTTTATGATGATCAGTATTTATTAATCGCATTAAACATTGCTATCATTATCATTCTCACCATTACTAATATACTTAGTTTCACTGTTGTTATTGCTATTTATAACTATATATTAGTGATATTATAATTTTTGTTATTATTATTATTTTTATTTTTTATTCTTTTTGCTATTGTTGTTTTGTTATTGTTACCGTCGTTGCTATTGTTATTATTCTTATTATTATTATCACTCATCATTATGATTATAATTATTATTACAGCTACTACTGTTAGTATTATTGTTATTAGTAGTACTACAGTAATGATAAAAATAGTGATTATTATTATCATCGTTATTATTGTTAGTATCATTATCATTGATAATATTTTTTTCATTATTGTTATTATTAGTATTATTACTGTTGATGTTATTCTTACTGTAATTATTATCATTATTATTATTATTATTACTATTATTATTATTATTATTTCTGTAACAATGGTGATAATAGTGATTATTATTATCATTATTGTTATAATCATCATTATAATTACTATTATTATTACTTTTACTACTGTTGTTGTTGTTATTATTACTATTGTTATAATTATTAGTATCATCATCACCATCATTATCATTGTTGTCATCATCATTGTTAATATTAATATTATCATTATTATTATTGTTATCATCATCATCATCGTTTCTTATTATCTATTATTGTTTTTGTAATTGTTGTTGTCATTATTATTATTATCACAAGTTTTAGTAATTTCAAAGAAAATTCTACCCTTGAGCCCTTGAGTCTTCCGTAAAGGCAGAACTTCATTGACGTCATGTGTTCACTTATAAGACTCGCGACGACATCCCTGATATTCTACAGCACCTGCCGTCCCAGTCTTTGCTCTTCAGCGGAAATAAAAACAACGGTCTTGAAGTTACGATTCAAGAATACGTGGGTTTCTTCCGGCGCTCAGATGCTGCGTTGATGATGCTCATAGATGATCACACTTGCATTAATCTATCTCAATTAGGATTCATTATGGCCCAAATTGATTCCTTGGCCGGAGGCAGGGTCGTAGTCGTGCGTCGGTTTCAATCGCACCTCCAGAATTCTTCATGCCATCGTATGCCCACACCAAACCAAATGCACTGTAGTTGTATATATATATATATATATATATATATATATATATATATATATATATATATATATATATATATATTTATATATATATATATTTATTTATATA